TGTGACCCCTTTAAACATCAGGCCACTGCGCTACTTGGATAGGTACTTCAACCGTGTGTGAGAGAGAGAGAAAAGAGGGCGCCCTACCAAGGCTCTTACATGTTCATAAGCAGAACATAGAAACCACTTCAATCGGGGACCAATTCTGGGCCCAAAGCTGGCCAATGTGCAACCATTTCTTGTTACTTTGAAAGACAAAGACGTGCGAGCGAATCTCAAGCTTTTGCTTGTCCTAAAAATCACGTCATATCCCATATGATATGTTCTTAGAGGCCGAGAAATCAACGTTTGGGTCATCTCACGGTCATCCATAAATAAATAGCACTCTCTCCCACGATCTGTGAGAAGGTTGAAAACAAAGACAGAAAAAACTTTTCACCGACCCACGTTTTTCGTTTGCTTCTAATTTCAGTCCCTAGAACTTTAGGTTATTTGTATATTGACCATCGAGTTTTTGGAAAATTCAAAGAAATTGTGTATAACATCCGCCGAAGGAACTTTCTTTTTATCTCCACAGTCAGTCTAAAGGTTTCTGCAGTTGAGCAGACTAGAGCGGCACCGTTTTCTTTAACCTCCTTGGCCCATCCATAGCTCGTCAGCCAAGCCTCCTCCGCCACCTAATGAACAAGGTGAGCAGAAACAAAAGCTCTCGTGTACGCTTGTACGCACAATTATTAGTCGCCCTTTTCAAAGGGCGAAAGAACGACATTGAAATGGAGAGATCAGTTTCCCTATGTCTCGTTTAAATCTGTAAATGGTGGAAGTTGAGATCAATGGAGTAACCTGAAATGCCAAACTTACATACCACTAGAACATGTGTGTCTACAGTATTGTCTCTTTTATTATCTAATCTTCTGTTTTGATAGGGCCTTTTCCGAAAGATACAAAAAGTGATGTCAAGGGCACTTTCATAGAAATAATATTACCTCATCTCTCGAATCTCTCCTACCGGACCACAGAGTGGTCCACCGCCAGGAGCGATGGCACCACCAAAAGCAATCTATGGGCAGTGTTCAAGTTTGATCGCTGGAGTGAGGACAGAGGTTGAAATCTCTTCCAACAGGAGCCCGCCCGACCGGCTTCAAACTTTCGAAGCGGCGGTGGCCCAATTGGGAAAACCAAAGACTTTCGTTCCCCAGAAGATCGAAGCTTGTAACGCAAGGAAGCCATTGGTTTGGGGGAGTTGGAAGAATCTCATCTTCCATGAAACCGATGAGCATGTTTTTTTTCATTCTTAATCGAGGTTTTTTTTTTTTTAATTCCTTCCTTCGAAGGTTCTCATTTCTCATATAGCCACATAAGGCTTGCATGGTTTTAAGCGATGGGCACATTGAACTTACCATTCAATGCATCAGTGCACAGGTACATAAGCACCCCCGCAATCAGCGACGAAGAAGGTGTGCATTCATTTAAATATATTCATTCTGGAAGTCATAAGCTACAAAAAAATCTCCCACGGCATTCGTCGATCCACATGATGGTGGATCGAAATGGACATGATTGAGCAAAAGAAATCAGTACATGTTCCAATGACCAAATCCAAAGGATAAAACCGAGTCACCACAGCTTTGAGAGGACTCACCTTAGACGTGAGAAAGTAGGAAGGAATTGCTGATTCCGGAGAAGAATTAGGCATAAAACAATGAAGCACCAAGGAAGTAAATTGAGATACACAACTGCCTGACCAAGCAGCTTGCAACAAAGCGTCTCAGTTTCCCTTCTTTCAGTTCAAATCAGAAGATTATCGCAAAATGGAGAATGGGAACGTGGAAGTAATCATGAAGCGACAAGATCCGGTGTTTCTGCTTCAACAGATACCAAAGCCGTGTGTAATTTGTCCAGCCAATTGTCCAGTAGGTCATGCAGTAATTTGACCTGTGGAATCCCCAAACTCTTGGCTGCATCCATGAAACTTATATTGTCCCCTCAACTTGAACGATTATGCCCACAATAAGATGAACCTGAGTTGAGATTCTAATGGTTAGACTACTGTAAAATAAGAAAGCTTGAATATCGGTTTTCCATTACGGATGCTAGAGCAGAGAAGGTGCAAGCAATCACAACATCCAGGTATTTGCCATGACGGCATATGCAAAAAAGGAAATTGTACTCTAGATTTTTAGCAGCAGCACACTGATGCATATCCAAAGCTCTTCTGTTCTTACACTAGAAATAGTGGCGGTCAGTCTACAAGCATGAATAACTCAAAGTAATCATCTTTTACACCCCCCCCCAATTAGGAAAGTTAGCATCAATGTTAAAAGAGTAAAAAGAGATGCTGATTCACATCAGCCACCACTTGTTGTATAAAACTATTTATGGTTGATTTATGCTAGCTAAGTCTCTTAATAGGGCGCATATTCACGGCAGTCACTTTAGGCACATTCTGTGCAACCAACCCACTAACTTCTAGTCCCTTCAACCATATGCAGCAGACCTCAAATTAAAGTGACCATTATTCAAACCTTAGAATGTACTTACAGACAAACTCATGAGAAGATGCTCAACATTCTGTGTAGAAAGTTTTGTGTGCTCTGCAATAACATTCATGGAAATGGTTCGATCCCCAGATGGTCGACACCAAAAATTTACATTGCCATTCTCCATCAAAGCTGTAATAAACTCTGTTTCCCAAATTCTGCAACTTTCTAATCTTAATTTAGCTCAACAAACACACATAGTTCTTGTAACACCCCAACTAACAGATGCACAACACGCTGGCACATGATTACACGCAATCGAGCAGTCCACACAGAAGCATAGCAACATAACTAGACTGGGTTTTCCAATAGTCAAACAATTGCAAGAAAGCAACTAAACACAAAGATAAATCACGTGATTACATTCAACTAAACACCAACTGCCACACCACTTGTACCTGTTCTTCAGCGATTAGCTGGTGATTCCAGAGCTTGAGTTCAGGCCCATGCCTCCCGCCACTGGTGGAGTTAATGAGTGCAACCATCGGAGCCTCATGTAGCACCAAATTCCTCCTGCTGAGCGGCACTGAAGATGAAAATGTGCACGAGAGTGGAAAGTGGCACTGAAGAAGGACTTGAAGGTCACGGACGACGGAACCTGGGAAACAAAGATTGCGAATGATAACCATTCTGTTTCTCTATTTCTGTTCCAGAAATAGGTTTGGAACAGAAATCCGTTTGGTAACGCAATTTTAATTTCTATTTCTGGAACAAAAATTTGTTCCAGAAATAGATTTGGAACAGAAATCAGAAGTTAAAATTTTTTGCTTCTCTATTTCTGGAACAGAAATGAGAAGTTAAAATTCTTCTCCAGAAATAGAGAAGTTAAAATTCTTTTCATCGCTCACCCTCACTACTAGTCGGTCGCCCATCCGCTACCCACTTGCTGGCGACCACCGCTCGCGGCCACCTGCCTCCGGCCGCCGCCCACCTCCCACAGCCGCCCGCCGTCCATCGGCCACCATCTCCTGCCGCCGGCCGCCCTCCTCCCGCCGCCACCTGAATCCCCCCGCCACCTGCCTGCCACCGCCGGCCACCGTGGGCTGCCACCCGCCGTCCACCGGCTACCGTTTCCCGCCGCCAGCCGCCCTCCTCCCTTTGCCACCTGCCTCCCACTGCTGGCCACCATCTCTTGCCGCCGGCCTCCCTCCTCCCGCCGTCGCCCACCTTTGGCCGTGGCCCGCCTCTCACCGCCGGCTACCGTGGGCCACCGACCGCCGTCCAACAGGCCACCGCTCCCGCCTCCGGCCGCCCTCCTCCAGCCGTCACCCACCGTCGGCCACTGTGGACCGCCGCCCGCCGACCACCGCCCACCGTCTCCTGCCACCGGCCACCCTCCTCCCGCCGCCGCCTCTCCCCGCCATCCACCGCTGCAGTCCACTCACCAGCCACTCGAGAGGAAGAAATTTTGTGCCGTTATCAAACAAATTTCTATTTCTAGAATAGAAATTTTGTGTTGTTATCAAACGTATTTTTTTGCTCAGAAACTCTTCTAGGAACAGAAATAGAAAAATCAATTTCTGGTCAGAAATTGATTTTTGAAACAGAATGGTTATCATTCGCAGCCAAAGAGACGACGGTGAACGACGGACTGAAGCTTGCGAGGGGCGAATGAGGATTGGCCGCGGAGCGACCGAGGATTGGGGGACAGCAATTTGAAAAAGAACACTAATCCCAATTCAATTCTGGATTTTGTTCAAATTACAAATTTCAGACAAATACTGCCGTTGTTTAGCCGTCGGAAAATGTCGATCGATGAACATTTGATCGACCGGCGAGCTCAGGTCCTTATTTGAAATCAACTTAGCTCTTTTTTGAGAAAATGACTTCACTTTAAAGGTGCTTGTTTCACGAAAAACTTAAAATTTAGAAAAATATTTTTCGAAAAATAATTAGTTATATCACTTAAAAAATTAGTTTACGGAAACTATTTTTATTATCGATAATAATTTATGCCTAATTAATTTCGTGGGTAATGAAAATATTTTTCAATCATTCTTTTTTTTTAAGAGATGCATATTTTTTGGAAAATATTTTCCAAATCTTGGAATTTCCGTGAAACACGCGCACCCAAACTCTTTTTTGAAGTCTTCTCCTCTTTCTTTTGCCTTGTTCCTTTGCCGACTCTGTCTTTCTCGCTCTTTTCTTCTCTTTATTTCCCTGGTTCTGCAAAAGGAAATAATAAGGTGAGTTGAGGTCCCTTTTGTTATTAGATGGTGAGGGATGTATTGTCCCCCAACCTCACCACCGAAGTTGACACACACACACACAGAGCATATGGAGATTCCAAGTAAGATGGGGAATTTTTAACGAGATTGTCCTTGGTTGCACGTTTTAGAATCAGTTCATTGTCTCTCTTCACTAGAATAAAGCAGAAATAGAAAGCAAGCAAAGCAAAAGAAACAGCGATGATCTATGAATAGAAAGAAGGCGCACCATTTTCTTTAGAGGATCCCCTGTTTCTGTTTCAGAGTCCGGCACTTGCTTTGTTCCATTTACAATCATCTCTCTGTAAGACTCCTAATCGTTGCAATGAGGATCTGCACTACTGTTGAGTAACTTCTCACAATCTTGTATTTCTATCACGCACTCATTTGGTATTTTTGAGCTCGATGCATCAAAAATCCTTTCCATTGATCTGCACCCAATAATTTCTAACCACTGCAAAAACTCTAATTCGTCAATGCCCTCGACAACCTGCAGGCTCGGGCATTGGTCAATCTTTAACTGCTTCAAGTTCTTCAAGTTTGACAAACCGCCTATGCTTTTTAATGAAGAGCACTCTCGAACAGAAAATTTTCCCAATGATTTGAACGTAGAAACAAATTGAATATCCTGTACCTTAGGGCACCCAGACAGAAGGAATTTTTTAAGCATCTTTAGGGGTCTTGGGTCATCATTGCTTGCTGTTGTACTTGACGATCTCGGAATCGATGACGGATCGTGAGGACGATGGACCGCCCAATCAAGTTGGGAAAAAGAAGCACTACATGTTATGTGTATCGATGCATCAAAAATCCTTTCCATTGATCTGCACTCCTTGATATTCAACTGATACAAATACTCTAATTTTTCAATGCCCTCAACAACCTGTAAGCTCATGCACCGGATAATACTTAAATCTTTCAAATTGTTCAAGTTTGACAAACCGCCTAAGCTTTTTAATGAAGAGCAATCTTCAACAGAAAATACTTCCAATGATTCCAACATAGAAACAAATTGAATATTCTGTAACTCTGGGAACCCCGACAGAACGAATTTTTGAAGCATCTTCAGGGAGCTTGGGAAATGTAAGGTTCCCCTCCAATGATCAATCAACTCGGGAGCTTGTAGTTCATTGCACCCCAGCTCCTCTAGCAAACAGACCAACTTCTCGGAAGATTTGCAGTCCTGAATACGTGATCTCTCCGACGATTGTAAGACATTGAGTAATTGAACATCATGTTGCTCGTACACCTTGTTTTCTCTCGATTTTCTCGAACTTGATGAAACGAATACAGTCTCCTTTTTCGATGGAGGAAGCCCATCGAGGTGTACTTGTTTTCCGTGAGTGTTGTAGAGCTCTAAAACTATCAAGTTTGACGGAAGTTGTTTGAAAGTTGGCAAGTCCAGTCCATAAAGAGTAAGTTCTTTTAGCTGAGAAAGGGAACCCAACTCTATAGTTGGTGCGCGGACATTTGGAAAGCAACACCACAGCTTGCTCAGTTTGGATAACTTCCCGATCCACTGTAAGTCTCATGTTTGAATTATATCTGATATGGCCTTTGAATCAGAGCCATTGGATAGAGCCAGTTCAACTAGATTAGTGAGGTACGAGAGGTTAGGGACAGTCAGCAATGAAGTAGATACCAGCAATAAAGTGGTCATACTTCTGGGGAGCTTCGGCAACTCTTGTATCCCATGACAAGGACCCAAGTACAGTGTTCGGAGTTGATGAAACTTGCTCATTGTACTAGGCAATTTTTCAATTGGTGTGCATGATACATCGACATACTTCAGGCTTGGTAGTATACCAATGGAATCTGGTAATCTTGTAATTTTCGTGCATGATACATCCAACTTCGTTAACGACACTAATTTCGAAATTGAGTCAGGGAGTTCAATCAAGCCACGGCAAAACTTAAGAGAGAGGTGTCGTAGACTCTGTAGCTCTCCAATTTGTTTAGGTAATTTTCTAAGTGCATGGCAAAACTCAAGGCTCAAGTCAGTCAGACACCTCAGATTCCCAATAGAGTGGTCAATTTCCGAGAAAAGAAAACTGTCACAAATAGCCAACTTCTCTAAAGCTGAGTCCTCTGGAAAGATTGGTGTCCCATAGATCAAGTCATTATGCTTAATAGTGAGAACCTTCAATTTCCTTGCCCTCTACAAAAGCCAATGAAACATAAGGACAAACAAGAAATAAATATGGATTTAGGCTACCAATTTGTATCACATGTCATATGATCCTCTCACTAAATGAGAAAATTAGATTATAAATCCATCAAATTTTGTCCTTCATTGAATCAGAAAAAATAGACTAAGAGGGAAACTGGCGTACCTTGATTAGGCTCTTGAACACATCATCTGTGAATTCAAGCCCAGAAAGATTCACCACAACCGCGTTTTGTAGATGCGACAAATTGGTTGCCTTCAAACGTTGATAACGGCGGGGTTCGTCAATACTTCTATAAGGGTAACGCAAATTGATCCATCTCAACTCGGAAAGACAACCTGTAAAGTCACCTTGGCAGTTTACGTCATACAAAGAAAGAAACCGTATATGTGGGAACCGCTTAATTTCCTCTGAAGTGACAGTTATACGATCCCATGATGATAGCAAACGGAGTGCTTCAACTTGAACGCCTTCCTTGATCTGCCAATGACATTGAGGAGTAGAAGCAGGAATTTGTCAATATCCCACTATTTTATTTCGTAGAAGAGAAGAAAAAATGAAACAGAAGAGTAGCTCCCCAATCAAAAACGTGAATCCTCAATTAAGAAGAGGGTATAAGCAATTTTCTATTCAAATTTGGCCATACTTTACCTCTGTTGATGTTAATCTTAATTCGCGAATGATGTCTTTTTCATCCCACAACCTGGTATGCTCTTGTTTGGCAATTTGGCTTCCAAGATCTCTAAATTGATCGTGCATCCCAAATCTATCACCATCTAAAACCTTTATCATGCACCTCTTAATAAGGACCTTGATGGCATGCTCTGGGAAAAACTCACAATCTTTCCACATGTACATTGGATTAGTCTTATTCACACCAATGAAAAAACATGCAACATCGAGGAATATTTGTTGTTGATTAGGCTCTAAGGCATCATAGCTAATCTTTAGCTTTCCCAAGACATCCGTATGAGGTGTTTTCTTTAGCTTTTGTAGCCACTCTTCCCATATTTCTCTTGTTTCCTCACCAAAAAGCGATGAACCTATTGCTTCAAGAGCTAGAGGGAGTCCATTTGTAGTAGAGACAATGCTTTTTGAAAGAGTGTAGTAATTGGCAGGAGGAGAGTTGTCGTTGAAGGCATGCCTACTAAAAAGTTGAAGTGCGTCTTTGTGGCTCAACTCCTCCATTTCATAAGGCATGATATCATACTTAAATCCCCTGATTTTCAGAATGCTTTTGTCCCTAGTGGTAACAAGTATCCTAGTACCAGGATACAAAGAATTCACTCCGATTAATTTTTGGATTTGGTTGCCCTCATCGACATCATCCAATACAATTAGTATCTTCTTGTATTGTTTCTCCAATCATATTGATCCCATGATCAATATCATCAATGTTGCAAGCCACTCTAGAATTAGAGATATTGGACAATAATTTTTCTTGCAGCTTGACTAAGCCCGTGGTTTTTTCCGTTTCCCTCACATCATCAAGAAAGCTACAGTTTTTCCCAAATTGAGAACATAGTTGGTTGAAGATAACCTTGGCGAGTGTTGTTTTACCAATGCCGCTCATCCCGTAGATTCCAATGAGCCGCACACCACCGGAGTCGATGTCTAATAAATGGTTAATGGCTACTATACGATCCTCCATTCCAACTAAATCGTTGGTCACTTGTCTTTGTCTTGTCTTGAGCCTCACCACAACCTCGTTAACGACCAACTTGATAAGATCGCCATAGCTGCCATAAAGTTGAACAGTTTCAATTGAGAAAAGGTAACAAATTTGGATGTTGACCAACCATCTACTAAGTAATCGGGTGGGAACGTGATCAAATTTACGATATAGAAAAATTCAACGTTACCCCCAAAGGTTCAGGGAACATGATGAATTTCAAACTCGAATATCCATTACAAGTTTAAGTTAATGGAATAGAGGAAGAGAAATGTTTGATCTTCATATCAAGTAGAAGAATCAAAATTTCTGCCAAAAATGGGAAGAAGAATCAAAATATAAACGTATGATGAATTACTGTAATAGTAGATTTACTTATTTCTTTTGACGTGGAAAAGAACTTTGCAAAGGCAACAGTTCCTTAATCAAGTTCTATAACATACAATAGGAATCATAATACATACATGGATCAAATTAGTATAAAAAAGGATGAAGCAATTTATACGATGGAAATTAGTTGAAAATCGAAATTATAATAACTCTATTAGGTTCGAAAAAAATATGGAAATCTCGTGATTTAATAAGAAAGAATTTGAAACTTTCTATTTAATTTTTGGGAAATTAGAGTTAGAATATAATTAATGAAGTTTTATGAGAACTATGACCAGACTGTATAAAATAATTTTCACAATCATGGTTATGATTGTTACCCTGAATATTTCTCCATCTCCCATCCCTTTGTGCCGTCAACTTCTTTGAGTGCCTGCCGCCATGTCTCTACATCCTCGGAGCTAAACTTCGTCTTCCGATCCTCCATCTCCAAATTCGATATGGCCTTGCTGTACAACGGGGTTTTCAGCTTCACGTCATCGGGTTTCACGTCGTAGAAGACGGGCAATATGACCTTCTTCCCATCTTCTTTAGATCTAGAGGTGTTCTCCACCATCTTTGCAAGCTCGCGGAGGCATCAGTGACTTGAAGCGTAATTTTTTGAGAAGACGGGTATGTAGAGCTTGGAATTGTCAATTGCTCGCAGAAGGTTGCCACTAATTCTTTCACCCGGCCGAAGCTCTTCATCATCTATGAAAACACGAATCCCGGCATCTACCAAGGCATGGTAGAGGCTGTTGGTGAATCCACGACGAGTATCGGGCCCCCTAAAACTCAGGAACACCTGGTACTCACCTCCTAATGTATTGCTGGTGCTTGCTCCTGACTCTGAGTTTGCCATAGGAGCTCCCTTCACACGTCTCTCTCTGATTGATACTTCTGAAATACTTCTCCTAGGCAATTTCGCACAAAGCCTTGATGTTCTCGAATGCAAGTAGAGGACTTCGATGTTAAAGTCACGAGGAAGACTTTTGAGACTTTTGGACGTGTGTATTGCGTGACTCACGGGGTTTACTTTAGTTGCCCTGTCGCAAAAAAGGTTTCAAAAAAATATCGGAATTGACAAAATATAAAGGGAAACAAATATTTTCACAACTATAAAATCTTCTTCCACAACCATTTGCCATGAAAAACGCGTATTGCCAACTTCGCAGCAAGTGCAGAAAACATTACATTTAACATATTTGAATATGATTCCATTTGCCAATTGCCATAAGAAACGCGTGAAGGCAACTTCATAGTAGGTGGAGCTTTTAATTTATAGTCAATAAAGTTGATGGCTTTACACTTTGATAAGGTAGTGGACAATAATGGAGGCCTACCTTTTTCACACGCCCAATTTCCTCCGAGTTTTTTCTTGGTTCTTTTCACTTTGTGCTTTTGAATTTTTGGATTAAAAAATCTTGATCCTCAAAACATTTATATCATTTATGATTATTCTATAGCTATATCTATAGTTAAACATGTTTACATAGATAAAATCACAATTTATCTATATAAATTCATAATAACAAAATATCTGTAAAGAATCGCCTCTCACTATGACATATGAAACTCTGGATAATTAGAAAATTTTTCTTCATATTACAGAGATTGGATTTGCCGCGTTCGCTACAAAAAAAATGCTCCACCTAAGGATATACTTTCTACTCACTATGGAAATTTTTGATCTGATCTCTTCGCCTTGAAGACTTATTACCTTCTATTATAATTAATTACCTTTAACCACTCAACTATTCTATATAAATGTCCTCTGAGCGCGGAAAGAAAGCAAGAGAAACCATTATGGTCTTGGCCATAAGAGACGACTTTTTGCTCAGCTGATGCATGGGAAAACGAGAGATTAATGTCGGCCACTCGCTGTTTCCTTTCTTCTTCTTTATTTGCTTCAGCTGAATTTCCTCTTTAAATACGAACAGGAAGAGCTCTTAATGTCAAAAGAGAGCCTTGAAGGCTGCACAGAGCATAGCATTGAAAAGTGTGCCGAGAGTCCCCCTTGGGGAGAAGTATAATTCAGAGAGTTTTCTTCGTGAAATTACACTCACAAGCCGATTAAATCTTGTATTAAGATTTGTGTCATTACTTTGTGAAATTGAGATATTATTTCAAGAAAAATTGTGAGGACTAAACATTATGTAAGTTATTGGATGTAATTGAGGTTGGAAAATACCGAGAGTATGTGAGTGACTTGAATGTGGATCGTTTGGTCTATAGTAGAGTCTTATAATGTTCTCCCTGTATGAACGTATGAACCACATAAATCTAATGTTCGATTCATTTCCTTATTTTGTGCATTTTATTTGATCGTTTATTTTTTTCTTTTCAATAAGGAATATGGTTTGAAGAAAAGTGAAACCAAACTAAAAGATATTCAATGCGACCAGCATCAGGCATTCATGAATAAATGCATAAAAAAGTATTTTTTTATTTTCTTAAGATATTAATCGATATTTACAAGTTTAAACTCGTGGTTGATGATAAAATTTGTCCCGCCACCAGCCTAACAATAACTCCGATCATAAAGACGAGATTCGAAGCAATCTACCCGACCTGTTTCTTCTAAGACCCCTTGACAATGCATAGTGATGATGGTCTTTTATTGCCATTTTGTACATTGAATCACGCCAGCCCGTGTGTACCTTTGGCTTTCCTTTATTCATTTTCCATGATTTCATGGTCACATATATTTTATTTATTTAGTTTTCGACGCAACATATTAAGAGACCATAAATTTGCAACTACAACCTTGACATATTAAATAAGTCGGTTTCACGTGATCGGACATAGATTTTCACGACATTTGTTAGTGATAGATTTTTTTATTAGGATGATTTAACATAAATCATTTTCATATCGCATCTCATAATAAATTTTTCATGAGAAATTGAAAATCCCTATGAATATTATCCTTTGGAATTTGAATGGTTATAGTAGCAGTAATGAAGATCGGATAGAGCCTAGCCATATTTATTTATTTTTCGTGGCGTTATTCGGTGCTTTGACCTGCTGACTAAATTGGTGCCCCGTATCATTGAATGGAGCATATGGGGGATTGAGCACTCTACATCTTCTTGGAAAGCTTAAACACCGTGGATTCAAATGAAGTTGTTTCGTGAATCCTGCATTGCCAGCACGAGTCTGGTTTGTATTTTATTTGTGCCTTGGCTTCTTTTTCGCGATTTTCCATGAAAAACATGCAGCTGACAGAACCTCCACTCCACATTAAATCAAATATTTTTTATTTGACAGCATCATTAAGATTTTAGTTTGGGATTAACAAAATCCATCAATCACAATACTGACCGCGTCTTTGGAGTGGTTAGTGTTGATTTATTTATTTATGTGATCCGCATCTGCTGTATACACTCAGTGCCGTGCAAGTTTTGGCCCTTTTTGACAAGTCAGATGTTCTTGACATCAATAAGGTGACGGATTGTATACTTTGGAATAAAGCGTCCTAGATTTGCAAACTCTTACCATTGATGCAAGTTCCTCGGTGTTGTTTTATGTTTTTAAGTTTTCAACATCATGGGAGTGATAAACTTACCCTAGGCTCTGTTTTGCATGTAAGAGGTCAGATTATGTCATGTTACGGAATTTTGATTACAGTTACTTTATAGTGTGTGTATTGCTAGCCAAACATTGATAAGGGGGCTCTATCTATGAGATTGAAGTTGCTACCGTTGGATAATATCTGGTATCAAATGTTTTATATTGTTGAGCCTAAACTATGATTCAGACATCAGAGCATTGCAAAACGAAGGCGGATCTTTCTCTGGGGATATGTGGGGATATGTGGGGAGAAGTTGACAACTCAAAGTAATCATCTTTTACAGCCCCCCAATTATGAAACTTAGCATCAACGTTAAAAGAATAAAAAGAAATGCTGATTCACATCAGCCACCAATTGTTGTATAAAACTACTTATGGTTGATAAATTCTAGCTAAGTCTCTTAATAGGGCACATGTTCACAGCAGTCACTTTAGGCACATTCTGTGCAGGCAACCCACAAACTTCTAGTCCCTTCAACCATATGCAGCAGACCTCAAATTACCTTCGGAAAATACAACTGCCCAAAATATTAAAAGAAAAAAACCTGGATATCCCATTTAATTCCGTATGAAGAACCAAGAAGAGAAGCATTGCTTGCTTCATTTTCACTCATTAGAGCTCCTCACAGGTAATAAAGAGACAGTGGATACTCAATAAAGCGACCATTATTCGAACCTTATAACATACTTACAG